ATCATGCGCCTTTGTGACCGGACATTCCTTCATACAACGTAGTAATAGGGGGAAGTAATCGGGCCGTTCGATGTGTGTGTGTGTAGAGGTGTGTGTGGTTGAAACGTAGCAGCCTGCAGTGGGGAACACAGTGAAGGCAGTGTGTACGTGCCGGTGCTGCACTTCTCAGAGGCTGCCTCCTGATGCTGCAGCCATTTCATGAATTGAAGGAGGCTTTACAAATAAAAAAATAGCTCTACACCCCTGGCCGCAATTTCCTTAAAATGAAGTCCGAGTTCGAAATATATCTCAAATAATGTATGCACTGCCATATCCCCACATAAACATAACAGTCTGCGATGAAACCGTTGTCTCCTGTGTGCTCCACTTCCTATTGGCGCACCGGTAACTTTCTCTGCGCACGAGAGGCTGAGACCTTATGCTAACCAATTTAGATTTATTTTGTATGTTTAATGGTCCGCGGACCGGGGGTTGGGAACCCCTGATGTAGACCATAGTCGTGTCACCTTTATGTCTCCTGCATACTTGCATAAAATGTCCTCTCTTTATAAGTCTGCATTAGTTTTGGTACTTGATTTGTGTGAAAGAGCACAAAGTGCATGTGTGTGACTGTGCACAGAGAGGAGCTGCTGCTGCTCAAGGAAGAGGCGGAGCAGAAGTTGAGAGAGCTGCAGGCCGTCCTCCAGCGGGTCTCTGAAGACTTCCACAAGGTCAGAACACAAGCTCCGCTACTTATTTACTTAACGTCGTATCATGGTACTCATTCACACGTCCTTTTCAATGAGAGAAGTTTGTTTTTCAGTCACAGGGTATGGTGTCGACTTTAGAGAGGTCCCTCCATGAACTGCAGACTGAACATGACGCCCTGAAGTTGCAACAACAGAAGGTCAGATCCATTCATGTATAATCTAGCACAGTGGTTCCCAACCTTTTTCTCTAGTGTACCCTGTGAGCTGGTCGCCATTCTATGGTCGCATTCAAACCTAATAGTCACTTCTTTGGTGCGCACCAGACGACAGTTTGTTACATTGTTTCATTTTTTATGAATGTATGGTTTGCGTTCACATAGGCAAACATCAGAAGGGCTATAAACTGTCAATAAAAGTCATGTGCACGGCAATGCTGTTCAACAATTGGTCAGACATTATGCGGCTAAAAACACAAATCCCGGCATTTCTACCGTAGCCCCCCGAATGGAGCATCGGCAGGTTATTTCCATGCTGCTGTTAATCTGGAGATCAACAGACTTTAATGGACAGCTCATAGGATTATATAATCAGACAACGTGCATTAAAAAACATTATAACACATGAGTATAATGAGAGACGTTCTGCAGTCAGGAGGAGGTTTCACCGACAACAGGGAGCTCTGATGAGACTGTACCACCATGTTTCTCATTTAATTAACAATATCTTAAAATGACAATATTAACAATTCAAGTCAAACTTTGGTGATTTATGTTTTCCCTTGACCTCCTCAGGCTGCTGTTACAGAGGAGGACAAGGAGCGCTTGTTAGCGGACCTTCAGAAGAAAGTGACGTCTCTGGAGAGGCGGCTCCAGGGGAACCTGAGCCAGGAAGAGCATCTGCAGGAGTTTCTCCAGGAGGTGAACAACACCATCAGGATGAAAACTACCATTGTATTGCTCATAGCTAAAAGTATTGCAAAACTCTAAACAAATCTTAAATAACATCAAAATATATTCAGAACTTAGATTTAGTTGTTTTCTGTTGCTGGTCCTTTTATTTAAATAATTATCAATCTCTTAATAGAAGAGTATAATATTGAGCTTACCTTACATTTCATTCTGATTATGCCCCGTCCCTTTTCTAGGGAATTAATCAGAAATCTTTTCAGAATCCAAAATCCTTTTTATGTCCTGCAGAGGGAAAAAATATGATTTGAAAACCAAACCATTTACCTGTCCAGTTGTTGTCTTTTCAGAAGTGTGGCCTTGAGCAAAATCTGGAGGAGACGAGAGCAGAGCTGCTGTTGGTTCGGACAAACCACGCTGATACTGTGAGCGCTCTGGAGACACAGGTAAACCACTGCGGGGATATCTGCTGAAGATAGTATCTTTTGCTCTTAATTGAATGATAATTGATGTAATATTGACTCATTGTGCTAAATAAGCAGACATAGGTCACCAATTTACAGTTGGTGTTGAAGCATTCAGGTGAATAAAAGAAGTTCTACTTCCTTTCCTACTCTTTCCACTTTACATTTGCCTATTGTCATTTGCATTCATTTCTCATCACAAGCACAAGGTTAACTATGGCAAAGCTCTTGTAACCTTCATACAAAGGTTGTCAAAGGGAAACCGGTCATATTGAAAGTAATAAATCAATGTGGGCTGTGTGTTCCTCTCTGACCCAGGTTTCCAAACAGAACGGCAACATCACTGAGCTGCAGACCCTTCTCCGGCACAAGGACGACTCCTCCAGAGCCTACAGAGACAGAACAGAGACACAAGTAAGCAAGCAGACACATCAGTGTCACAATGACAGATAACATTATTCATTTACATATTTCATCTTCTTGTTCCCTTAAAGCAGGGGTATTCAAATCAAATTCAACAAGGTTTCCTCCAGCAAAGGTCCGGAACATCATAATGTCTAACTTGTGTTATGAATTAGTTTGATATATATTGAAGTAGCTTATTAGCTGTATCATTGTCGGCATTTAATCAACAACTGACCATCAAATAAACAAATATTATATATAATATTAATATTTATTGTCACTTAACATTGAACTATACAGAAATATAATACTGTGGGCATGTATAATGTTCTTCTCCACCTCCAGCACCTTCTCCACCTCTAAATGCTTCTCTACCTCCTGCTACCGTAACCTCAACTCCAACTGCAACTTCTCCTGCTCCAACCTCAACTCCAACTGCAACTTCTCGTGCTCCAACCTCATTTTCTCCTGCTCAAACTGCATGGCCGAAAGCTCTTTTTGCTGCTCGAACGCCAAACCAGCTTTCTGAACCACTACCGGCACGACCCCTGCCGCACCAAACTCACTCTTCTGCAACACCCCCTGCTCAAATAAAGATGACATGATGACAGCTTTAATCTCATGTTTCCGCTTGCTCCCTACAACAGCAATTTCATAATGCTCTGCTATTTCGACCAACTGCGCCTTCTGGCAATCATCTAAGAAAGACACTGAGGGCGCATCCACAAACGCCAACAAAGAAGCCATAATATGTTACCTATTACCAATCAGAAAGACAACACGCATGGGAAAAAGACAAACCCAACAGAGAATTTTTCCCCTCACTGCTTAACCAAAATCTTACTAATCTCACCTGGTCTTCATGTGGCTTGCGGCGGGTAATTACGCACTGGAACCCGGCGGAGTTATGGAGCGACCTGCACGCAGGCAACACCACAAAATCACGCGGACGTGCCCCCGAGACAGGTGTCCGAAAACAGCTGACACTAACCACATCGCCACAACACTATGAAAAAAACAAATAAACGCAACCCAAGGTTGTTTGTTTATTGTGCATTCTGTAGACTCCCATTTCTGTTTGAATTACAAAATGGACATCAGAAATTGGATTAAAAGGTCTAAGGATTTATTAAACGAAATAGCGATGAAAGAACTGCAGCTGATGGTGCTGCTGGCAACCCTGCACCTGCCGTTGCAGCAGCACGCCTTAATGTCACAAGGCTTGACCTCGGCAAACCCCGGGGCTGAGTTAGCGAGCCCAATCCTTGACTCATCAAGGTGGCCGCCACCAACGCTGTCCTCCGAGGCACAGCTCCTTGTGCCCCCACCATCACCACCTGCGTTGCCACACCCTGTACCACACCCGCCAGCATCCTCCTCCTCCTCCTCCTCCTCCTCCTCCTCCGTGCCGGTGCCTCCACTACAGACGCTACCTTGCAGCACATCAACAGGTACTATTGGGCCAGCAACCGCTC